AAATTGACGGGTAAATATTCTTTGATGTTGTCCAGAAACTAACTACTGATGGATAGCATTCGCGCGAGTTAACTTTATGTAGACAAACATACAGACCTGAGCATTTTTGAGTACACAGCGTTCCTGCGAATAATTTTGCTCAAGTCAGTCGCAGTTCCACGTTAATTAAGCAGGTTATGAAAATATTTAGATTTCTGAAACATATTTTTATTTTATATTTACCTGCAAAATATTTGTTACTACCATATTAGTTCTTACGTAGAATTTAAGTAGTAGCAGTGAGCTTTCTCATAGCCTGTACTTGGATTTTTGATCATTCGGAGAAACGGATACCTTACTTTAGCGATACTCCCAAACCGGTTGCGAAATAATGGTACCCTCATAAGTTTGTCATAGTAACACTTGTGATTGGAAAGAGTTTATTTGTGTATTGACAGCAAAAATGGCGAGACATGTTTTCGACATAAATCAAGTACAGTAGTGCGTCGATTATTCGAACGTCGATCAACAAAACGACCGCTTATCCGAACTCCCGATTCATGACAAAAGACTAGCATAAGTAACTTTATGTCCCAGCTTTTCTTCTGTCGGATCCACAAGTCGGAGAATAATGAAACTTGCCTTAGATACCGATTTAGATGATGGTGTATATAAGAGTAGTTTACTCAAAAAAGATTCCAGAGAGAATCTATTTCTGATCTGAATCTGTGTGAAAAACAGTTCAATTCGATGAGAAATCCGGACAGCTGAATTTAAGTGAGCACAGGCTGGTTAAAAAGATTTAAGTCGAGACATTCATGAGCTTTAAATACAATAATAAAAACTGTGACTTTATATTTGACTCAATTTTATAATGACCGGTAAAAAATACGGGGACTCTGATTTTACGTTGTAATAATGGAGTGCCTGTAGTTAAGAGTTAAAGCCCATCAATTTAAAAATTTTAAAAGAGAGAAAACAATATTGCTTCTTATAACGCCTCAAATCATCGATGTTGGAATGAAAAAGACCTGTTCTTAAAAAACTACGTGACCTACAGCTCGTAAGCGAGTAGACTTGCTTCGGCAGACTAGAATCGAAGATTTTTTTAAGCGTGAGTAGTTAAATTTTCGTTAATTTTACCTAGAATATATTTTGTTGCAAAGGCTGCACTTTTTGTTTAATTCCTATTTGCCATTAACGATATAAATACATATGTAAGTATGTAAATATGGCTTTCATTCATCAGTGGATAAATATATATGGTTTTATTAATACTGTTTTACTGTTATAGTTTTAATATCCGAAACAACCGATTTTCCGAACACCTATGTCCCCCAATTAGTTCAGATAATCGGCCTCTACTAGTGTAATATTTAATCAGTACGCTTATTTTACTGCTGAAATAGACATTGGAGACTTTGTCCGACCGGTTCAAACCGTACATAAACGTGTGTGTGATGCATTGTGTATTAGTAAGACAAAACACAACTCTTAAAAAATAGGTACACGACTTTTAAGAACAGAAAAAAAAGTAAATAGTAAAGTAGAAGTCGCACACTATAAACCTAGACACCTACCTAATACTAAAGATCTTCCTGAAGGTTGTAAGTTTGAAATTCGAGACATTATTTATAAAATGTGTGAAAAAAAAAAACATTTTTCTGTAGAGCCGGTGTTAAAAACAATTAAAAGACAGAAATATATTCGGGAAATAAAATATATACAGAATACAAAAATAAAAAATACATACATAAATAAACGGGAATACAAAACTCCGGGAATACGACAAAAGTGTGAAAGCACTAGCAAATGAAACAAGCTTTCCTAACATACAAAGGAGTGAAGACACCGGATGCACGAAAAGACTACGTAAAAATCAGGAATAGAGTAAACCAAGAAATAGATAACGTCAAAAAAGAACACTGGGAGAAATTTACCAAAGATATGGAATACGACCTCTATGGATCCCAGAAAAAGGTGTGGAAGATGATAAGGAGACAAAAAATAGAAATGAATGAATTTGTACGCATAGATAACATTACGGAGGAACAATGGACTGAGTATTTCACGAAATTATATGGAGAAGGAAATTATATGGAGAAGGCTCGCGAACTCCGAGCATTGAGACCATGTGCGGCATACATGGGCTTGGTGGCCGGACCCTTCTCGGATGCTCAGCCGGCGAGTAGAGTCGTCAGCTCAGGCTGGCGGCTCTACAGTCGGGGCACACGCGTTTTCTTTTTTTTTTTGTTGTTGTTAGAAGTTAGTCCCGAAGTCAAGTTAGAGAAACTTCTGAGTCAGTAATGTAAATAGGGAAAAAAGCCTATATGTGGCTACCCCTACAGTTAGGTGGCCTAACCACAGTCAATAAAAACAGAGGGTGTCCCATTACCCAGGGCACCTTAAGTAATTTTCAGATCATAAGCCTCCTCACGTAAGTCACACGATGAGGAGGGATGGAGGAAAAGCCTGGAGGTCAGATAGGTACCACTTCAACTAGTGAAGTGTGACCGGTTTGATCTTCGGACATGTGGATCCCACTCTTACAATGGAAAACACATGTTACTTAGGGGCAGGGTTGATCACTGCGTGTGTGTGTATGGAGAAGGAGAAGAAGAGAACAGAGAAAGAATCATTAACGAAACTCACGATAGAGTACTAATATCAGAAGAATAGCTACAAGAACGAATAAAAAAATTAAAAAACAGAAAAGCACCTGGTCCTGATAAGATAAACAATGAACTGCTAAAATATTGAGGAACAACACTACGCAAATGGCTCCTAAAATTATTCGTCGATATAATAAATACCGCAGTAGTACCAGCGGAATGGAAGGAGAGTCTCCTGCTATCGATACTTAAAAAGGGAGATTTGAGAAATCCTGAAAATTATAGAGGTATTAGTCTGATGAATAGTACATTACAAATTGTTAATGGCAGTCATAAAAGATAAAACCGAGGAAAAAGCAACATGGTAAATGAACAACAAGGCTACCGGAAGAACTGCAGCACAATAGACGCAATTTTTATTATCAGACAAATAACAGAGAAGTCTATTGAATATTGAAAAACCAGCATACATGTGCTTTGTAGATTTAAAAAGTGCTTTTGACAATGTGAAGCGAAATGACATCTTAAATTTATTACAAGCTGAACAAATAGACCATCAGATTTAAAGGACAATTAATGAAATTAACAAGAACAACAAGACCAGAGTTATAATGTCAACAGGAGAAACATAACGCATAGAACTAAAAAGAGGAATCCTCCAAGGAGACTCGCTCAGCCAATTGTTATTTAATATGGTGATGAATCAAATAATTCACGAAGTAATAAAACGATACGAATACCACATGGGAGCGCATAAAATCACGATACTATGGTATGCCGATGTTGCAGTACTAATTGCTGATAACGAAAATGATCTACAAAGGCAGCTTCACACCTTGAATATCACAGCAAACAAACTTAATATAAGAATATAGTAGAAAAAACTAAATGTATAGTAATCAGTAAAGAGTCGCGTAGATGCTAACTAGAAATAGACGGCAAAATTGTAGAACAAGTAATGAAATTCAATTACCTAGGAGTAGACATCACTAGTGACAGGGATATAAGAACAGAGACCACAAGGCATGCATCAAAAGCGGCAAGAGTAAGTGGTTGCCTCCGAGAAACCATATGGAGAAACAAATATCTGGCCACGGAAAGCAAAATGACAGTATACAAGACAGCAGTAAGACCAATCCTAACATATGCAGCGGAGACAAGGACCGATACAAGAAAGACGAAACAACACATCAACAATATCAAAATGAAAGTATTAAGATCAATAGCAGGCATATCATTACGAGACAGACCAACCAACAGAAGTATACTAGAGCAAAATTCGAAATATTAACAGATGGACAAAAACAAGAAAAAAAACTGGAACGAACATGTAAGCCAAATGGGGCCCGATAGATTAGGGGACATCTGTAAAAACAAGAAGCCGTATAGCAGAAGACCCGTTGAAAGGCCGCCAAAAAGATGGAAAGATAATGTACAGTCAACTACGACTGAAAAAGAATAAGAGGCAGACAAACAGGAAAAATCCTAGCACGAAGAAGAAGAAATACATTATAAATTTCCAGGGTAAGTTTCTGGAATGTTTTCAAAAAGATTGTATTTAGGTTAAAAACGAAAGACAATAGAAAAATTAAAGAGTTTTGAAAAAAAAAACTATAATAATTTCAAAAAAGAACACGCTTCATTTGTTTATTTAGACGAAACATGGATTTTTGCTAAAGGTAAAATAAAACGCATTTGACGAAACGTGAGTATAAAATCCATAAAAAACACACCGATACTGAGTGAAAGAGACATATTATATTGCATGTGGGTGGAAAACATGGTTTTATTGATGGAGCGGATCTCATGTGCAAATCAATCTTTCGTCCAAATTAAAATCAGCTGATTATCACGATAACATGAATACGGATATGTTTGTAAAATGGTTGAAAGAAAAATTGCTTCCAAGTTTACATGAACCATCCAATCTTTGGAGTATTTGCTATAACTTTCTCAACACTGCGGACCGTTTTCATCCCTAACCCTAATCCAAAATAGTGACAAATTCGTGCAATGTGCTATAGTCATTAAATATATGAAGTAGAAAACGAAGTAAATGTTCAAAAAGTTGCTCACCTAGTATATTTTTTCTGATAAGAATAATGTTCAAATGTTGTGATACTCATTTCTAGTAATAATTTTTTCTAACTTTTGTATGCAAGTGTTATTAAAGAAAACAAACAACTAACATGATAATTTATACTTTCCACCTTTTAAATGAAAACAATATTTTTCTAACAACCTACAGATATTTTAAGTATGATTAAGTCAATTTTCAGATTAGTCATATCAGTAACGTCTATTAAAAAAGTGTGATTCTTGGAAAAGCACTAAAAATCAAAGTGAAAAATATAAACAGATGATAAAATTCCCGATGTGTTATAGAAAAAATAAAAATAGAACACTTACGTTAACTGTTTACTACACTCCGTACATCTGAAACAGTTCTTGTGCCAAACTGCTTTTTCAGCTTTGATTTGTTCCATTTGAAAGACTTGCTTCGCGCAAGCCTTGCAATTTGTCATGTCGATTTGGGTGCCCTGAAACAATAAATGACGGTTCAGATACATAAAACCTCTTATAGGTACAAAATATCAACAATGATATTTTGTATAAACATGTGTGTCATCGCATACAAAAAAAAATTGTTTAATTTACTGTTTGTATTTTGAGAACGATTTCCGAAGTGGAAATTGAAACGTCAATAAACGTATTTTTATCTTTAATTGTGGCTTAGTCCCAGTTAAATAGTAATTAATTTAAAATGCCACAAGAAAATAGCCTCAGAAAAATATCAACAATGATATTGTCTATTTCGGCGTTCTCGACATGTGTGTCATCGCATACAACAAAAATTGTCCAATACGTATTAATACACATACGAGGGTGGATTGATAACTAGCCTTTGATAGAAAAAACAAGTTTTTTTGTAATTAAATCGATTTATTTCTGAACATAGTCCCCTTTTAAGACGATGTTCCAATTTTTTTATCCCATTTGAATAGTACTTTTGCTCGAGCTCTTCAAAATAGGTCGAAGTTTCAGCGACGACTTCATCGTTTGTTGCGAAACGTCGTCCTCCATTTTTTTTAGGTTTGGAAACAGGAAAAAATCGCTGGCGGCAAGATCTGGGAAAGACGGTGGTTGTTCAACCAATTCATAGCCCAATTCGTGTAATTTTGCAAGGGCGACGGCCGATCGGTGAGCCGGTGCTTTGTCTTGGTAAAAGAGCACTTTTTTGCGTTCCAAACCGGGGCATTTTCGACGCAATTCGGTATCGAATCGATCCAATAATGCTGCGTAGTACTCACCATTGTTTGCTTTTCCTTTTTCCAAGTAGTTGATGTGGCTGATGCCCTTCGTATTCCAGAAAACAGTCGCCATCACTTTGCCGGCCGAATGTGCACTCTTTGTCTTCTTCGGCCGCCCTTCGCCACGTTTGCGGCACTGTTTCGACTGTTCTTTGGTTTCCGGTGTGTAATAATGCTCCCAGGTTTCATCAACAGTGATAAATCGGAGAAAAAAATACTTTGGATCGCGCATTATTATCGCCAAGAGCGTCTCCGAAGTGGTCACACGTTTTGGTATTTGATCGATTGTCAGCAAACGCGGCATCCATCGCGCTTTTTTATGTCTAAATGATGGTAAATGATGTTGTGTACGCGTTCGTAGGAAATGTTTAGGATCTCTATTAACTCACGGGGCTTAATTCGACGATCTGCCATAATCATGTCATGGACTTTGTAGATCATTTCCGGAGTGGTGACTTCATTTGGCCTCTCGGGACGCTCATCCTCAAAAACACTCGTACGACCACGAACAAAATCAGCTTTCCAAAATTTTACTGTTGCTAACGAAGATGCAACCTCACCATAAACTTCGTGCAAGTCGGCTTTGATTTGCACATTCGTTTTACCCTTTTTGTTGAGGAAATTAATCAACGAACGATACTCGACTTTTTCCATTTCTCCGAAAACTCAAAATTTGCTTGCTTTTGACGGCTGTAAAAACCAAACTAATTGTTTTTAAAACTTAAAATTTTGACAGACGTCATGTCATAATTGGTAAATATCAACAACGAAACCAATTCGGTATCAAGTATGGCCATCTATCAAAGGCTAGTTTAATATGAATCTATCCTCGTACATAAACACGATTACATACTCGTTATAAACATAAAATTGAAAACTTACAGTATTAAAGTACATGTAAATGATTAGTTTGTAATACAAAAGTTCGTTTATAAACGTTTAACCTTCCGTAGCTAACAGCCGGTCTGTGAGACCGTTGATAATTTTTATCGACCTGCTGTATGCAGATGATACAATAGTGTTTTCCAATACCATAGAAGGGCAAAACTTAGTGAACAAAATAACGGAAACAAGTAGAACATATGGACTGGATATAAACACCAGCAAAACCAAGCTAATGGTCATTAGCAAGGAAAACATAACTGGAGTAAATCTGTATGTGAACCAAATGAGAATTGAACATGTCTTACAGTACAACTACTTAACAACAACTGTAATTAATGAGTCGTGGGACAATACCCAAGAAATTAAAAGTGCATTTTTGACTATGAGCTCTGTGTTCCAGAGCCATGACCTTACCCTAGAAACAAAAATAATACACCTTAAATGTTACTTGTACTCATTGCTTCTATACTGAGTAGAAACGTGGATATTAAAGGCAGAAACTCTATCAAAACTTCAGGCTTTTGAGCTATGGTTATACAGAAAGATCCTGAAGATACCATGGACAAAGTCACCAATGAAGAAGTACTGCGGAGGATGAACACAACCGCGGATTTGGTCAACATCGTGAAGGGCCGTAAGCTGCAGTACTTGGGACATATAATGAGAAATCAAGGATCAGATACGAGCTACTCCAATGCATTCTGCAAGGTAAAATTGAAATAAAATGGCTCCAGCACGAAGAAGAATATCCTGGCTTGCTAACCTGAAACATTGGTATAGAAAGACCTTAACACAGCTATTCCGTATAGCAACCAACAAAGTCATCATAGCTAGAATAATCGCCAACATTCGAAACGGACAGGCACCCTAAGAATAGGGCTATATTTTAAGAACTCGAGAACCGGCATTCCTTGTACCTTCTTGGCTAAAAAACATCTCTTCAGTTTCGCATAAACAGTAACAGAGCATTTAGCCGTTTTGAATTATCAGTGGTTTTTGGTCTGAGCGACCGGTGTTGGCTTTTATGTTATTTACGTTATAGTATAAGAAATGTAAATTGGTTTTCATATCTCCTTTTATTTTTTAATATGAGTAAAATAATGTTGGTAATTATTATTTTGTTCATAGCACATGAAAAGAAATATTGTTTTTATAAAGGGTGTTTTTAGAGGAATAGAAATGTAAGTTGGTAACACTTTTTTAACTGGCAGCCATTTTGACAGCTGTCAAGTGATTTATGTTTAGTTTGGTTTGGCCTTTCAGCATGAATATACTGAATTCCTGAACAATTAATTCGATTAACCATGGTACGTTTTCGCACCAGTATGATAATACGCATCGACAGAGCCCTGAAACAATGAGTACAGAAAATGATGTTGCTGATATAGAGCGTAGCATAGAGGAAAATCTGAATCAGTCTATCCGCCATAGTGCACAGCAGTTCGATATGTGTCCATCCACTTTATGGAAGATTTTATAGAAAGATCTTGGTTTGCGTGCTTTTCAAAATCTAACTCGTGCAAGAATTGAAGCTACCCGATCACCTAGGAAGGCGGAGATTCTTTGAATGGGCCCTAAACGAGATTGCCGTTGATTCTGATTTTCATAAACGAATTTTGTTTAGCGATGAAGCTCACTTTTGGTTGAATGGATATGTCAACAAACAAAACTGCCATATTTGCCGTGAAGATTAAGATCAAGTGTATGCTGAGACACCATTACATCCAGAAAAACTAACTGTTTGACGTGCTTTGTAACTGACTTTGTTTGACGGGCTGGTGGAATCATTGGTCCGTACTTCTTCAAAAACGATTCTGACCCAAAACGTTGCAGTCAATGGTGATCGCTATAGAGCCATGATTACTGACTTTTTCATTACGAGAAAAAGAGATAAACTTCGCAAACTCAAACGTGTCATTTTAAAAATACCTGCCACAATTTTGACATATCAGTCTCTGAGACCCTGTTATCTTCTACGTATAATTAGAACATGTTATCCCAGGAAGTTAAAAATATGTATAAAATTTGTGAAATTATCATCACGACCTTTCACTCCTGGCGGAAAGGTTGGGACCATCTTTGGGTTTTTCTGGCACATTTGTCGTGGAGTATCTTCGTGTACCTCCGGGATCTGTCTATTGGTTAGAATCGGTGTTTTGGGAACTTGTTATTAAAAAAATCGAATTTAATGTTAGCAAATATTTTTTTTCTTCTCTTCACCTTTTATATTTTTCAAATTGATTATTTTGAATGTAGCTGACTACTTAGTCTTCGTTTGTATCTGTCCTTTAGGTTGTCTAATATCGGTATTCATCTGGTAATTTTTCTAGTAGTTATTTCAGATATGACCTTACCATATATCCCATCCATCTCAATATTTGTGCCTTGATAAAGACAACAATGTCTTCTCCCTATATGACGCTTATAATTTCCTGATTTCTCCGTTTTCCTAATTCACTATTGGCTAATTTTCTTGGACCTGTTATCCTTCTTGTTATTTTCCTCTCAAAGTCATTTGGAGCTGCATCAGTTGCTTACTTTTCCGCTCTAAATTTCTGTTCTGCTCGCCTCTCTTTAAAATCGAAACTATCCATCGTGACTTACACTAATCGAGTATTTTTTTCATGGAAATCGTCTGTTGTAAACCAGTCCTACAGACGGTTGGTTTATTGTACATCTTCCATTTCTTCATGATATACATTTCAGGATTATGGAACCCTATACCAGCTTGTAGAGGTCTAGTGGATGGGTACCTTATGTTTTTGGTAATCTCCAAAAAGTGATTGCCTGCCTGCGATCTAGTCCAAATAAAACAGTCCCAGTGTATGTAGGTGTCCCTTCACTGGCGCATTTTCAGTAAAGAAACTGATATGACTAAGTTGATGCATTCATTAACACTACACATTTTACCATGTTTTAACTGGGTATATCTTCTCAGTGTGAGTTATGTTGCCTTCGAAGATACAGGCTTTTTTTCGGATCTAGGACAAAAATGCAAAACTTTACAGATGTCGGTATTCAGCTACTAGCCTGGTCTTCTAGAAGTCCAGACCTTAACCCCATAGAGCATTTGTGGGACAACTTGGGAAAAGTAGTTAGGCAAAATTGTAGCGAGTTTGAAACTGTAATAGTATTGATACAGGCACTGGTAAACGAATGGGAACAAATACCGTACAACGCGATTGCTGCGTCGATCTAGTCTATGTCAGAAAGGACGAGAACTGTTATTCGAGCTCGATGAGAAAATACTTAACTTTAATAAGCATATTAAAAATATTTTCCCGCAAGTGCATCAGCCCTTACATTGCTTTGTTTTCCCCGGTTACCTGGAATCCATATTGATA